AAGCCAGAGTACGGGCCTGAAATACTGCTAATTTTTGGCTTTCGCAGATGCCAGTACTCTGCAAAAGCTAGGAAGAGCCAAGCAAAACTCTTAAGATGAAACTAAAGATCCCCTGGGACTGAGGCAAATGAACTATTTTTAAAGTAAAAGGATAGCGTGCCAACAGCATAATATAGTTGCAACTACTTCCATGTTGTCAGGTCTGTAGCTCTTACTAGCTGTGTCTACTGTGAAGAAAGACTATTTTCTGAATAAATCCAGGGACAAAAGCAAAATGCACAGGATTCCAAGAGAGTCATTTGTTCAAAGGCTACAAGCCCCCTAATATATGACACCTCTCACCAGTAGTTACAGGCTCAGGCTAGCTAAATAATGTGGCTGGGAATAATGTAAAAGGGTTTTATTTACTTTAGTGATTTGAAGCTTCCTGTGGAAATAGCTCCCAGGTTTCCTGATGGAAGATTTTGTTTATCTTTGCCAAGCACCATCAGGAATCTCAAAATAAAATGCGCCTAGTGACATTGGGAAACCAGGGAGATAAGGCAGAGCTGTTCCTGTTTCACCCTCTGTAATTGCAAACACACCCATGGGCCTGCTGTGTGCCAGCAAAACAGCCCAAAATTTAGGGAAAGGGGCAGGCTGGAGGGAAGGGGGCTACCACAGTTAAATTTGGCATAAAGGTGTTGTTACAGACTGTTTCCATATCAGCGAGCAGGACAGCTTTCAGAAATCACCTTTCCACATTGCTTTTATGTAAGGTTCACAACTACTTCTGTGCCCTGAACAAAGATTTGCTTTTCAAAATAAGTCAGTGTGAGAACACCCCAAAAATGTCCATTTGACACAGGCCATAGGACAGGAAAACTACGCCAGAGCCCATGGACTTCACATCCCACACCCTCAGGCACAGGCTATAAAATTATACTACTCTCAAAACTCCCAGAACCTCACACACAAGTTGCACTTCAAGCCCAGAAATAATGAGATTTACAATAACTTAAGAAAGGGCTCTGGGTCCTCTCTGCTACACCTTCTGGCACTTATTTCCTCACATCTACCTTTCCCTGAAGGGGTGGAACATGCCACTGCCAAACTAGTTTTGTTGGGACAAGCTCTGCCTTCCCACCACCTTCCCAACGGTTTCTGCCTATAGAAAAGAGACTCCTTACACCACCACAGCTGCTTCACCAGTGCACATGTGTTTTCTCATCCCCAGGACAAGGCCTGAAGGAGATTGCCTCCAAGGAAAGGGATTCTTCCTGTTCAGGACAGGCTCTGTCCATCTGCTCTTTGGGGTTGTTTCTGGCTTGTCCCTTTTACAAAGAGCAGCAGCTCTTCTCCCTACAAGGGATCACCTTCTCCTGCCTAGACTGCTCTTACACTTTTGTGTGGTTCAGGCTGGCTTCATATGGCACCAGCAGACCCAACAACATAAGATAAATTAGCCGCAAGCTGTCACACGAGACTTGAAGTATTGGTTTTGGACTCATCAGAAGGAAATTCTTTGCAGTGTTCTATTCACATCCATCACCATTTAGGGCTCTCATTTTTATTCTCTCAGTGTGTTTTTCAGCAAATGCTGGGCACATTTGTTTCATTGATGTGAAACACAGACTGTTACCCAGGCACAGCAGTTTGGTCTCAGCCTGATGGAGGAGAATTGTGATTACCACCATGCAAGCCCAACTGATGCGCTATGTGCACAAAACAGAAGAATGAGCATAACTTCATTTTTGCAAGGACAAAACAGCAGCATTGTTTAAACACACTGCTTTCAATCAGTGCCACTCAGTGTCAGCCAACGATCAGGACTTTCCATGTTACACAACTGAAGTGCTCAGCTCCAGGAACTCAAAGGACAAATGCATTTCAACTTTACCACCCTATATAGAAAGTTTGCCACCAGACAAGATATTAAGAATTTCCAAGCCATAATAAAGCAGCCACTCCTCTCTCTGAACACCAGCCAAACAAGAGTCTTCAAAGGAAAGCCATAATATTCTGCATGTTCTCATGCAAGCTTTGGTATCAAGAAGTATCTCCTTCTATCCCTGGTCAAGATCTAAGAATATGAGATCTAAGTAAGGAAACTAACTCCTTCATGTCACTGTAGTAAACTATCTGAAAATGCCATCAAAAATTTGAAAGGGAGATTTGGGTTCAGCAAATGGGGCCCATCAAAATACAGCTTCATTTGGTTTCAGGATCTTTCTTTCATGCATTATTTTGAAGACTGAGCAGTAAGAGCTAGAGAAGGCCAAATTCAGCGTCTTGCACATTACAAAAGTAACAGCCTCAGTGAGTGACTGCTCAAAGTTACACGTGAAGTCCCCACATAAAGATCAGAATACAGTGCCACTGGCACATTAATTTATGGAGAACTATGCGTTGTTGTTTAGCTTCTGTCCAAACAGACACAGTGTAAGGATAGGAAGAAAAGCAAAATTGTGATTTGAGAGCAGGGACAGCAGTCATCCTCAAGGTGGCAAATGTTCTTGTCACATCCATTAACAGAACATGCAGATATTCTTTTTGTTTCTGTATTTTAACAACCTGCCTATGTGTCACTTATCGGTTTATATTTCTCATGCATGTTACCAGACTTCTGTATTTATAGATAACTGGCACTTTCTAAATGTTAAAGTGTATTACTACGTAGTCAGAATATGTAAAAAATACAAATTTTGGTCCTCAAAATCATGAGGGGGGACATTTTTCAAAGAAATTTTCTTTCTTTTTTTTTAACCAAATCTAGTGAGTGTGTGTCTACTCTCATTTGATATTTCTCAATAGAGTAGCATAATGAGTTTCACCAAAATCACTGATTAGGATGATAAGCAAGAGATTGACAACAAAAAAACAGATAAGAGAAAGCAAAAGTTAAAAGGGATACATTAAAATTATTTTTCCCTTTCAGCTTCAAGATTATGATTTTGGGATTAAAGGATCGTGATATTTTAACCTTTTCATAATTTCTCATATTTCTGAATGAATTACTTTTCTTTAATGACCTAACCTGAAAGTTGTCATCAGCCTAAGTGCTCTATGAACTACCACTTTGTAAACAAAACCAAAATAAAATCATTGCGTCTTTTCCAGTAATTCCAGAAGTCAAACATTTAATAATTTGTTTCTGAACCTGAAAACATCTAAACACATCTAGTAATGGAAAAATAACTGGAAGCATACTCATATGTGCAGCTAACACAAGAAGTCTTCTCAGTGCCACGGCCCAAATTACATGCAAGGTTTTCTTTCTCAGAAGAGGGAACAAAACTCTGTAGTTTATGCCCTGCCACTTTTTTACCTACAAGTTTCCATAGTCCCTGAGAGCTGTGAGGGGCTGCCCAGGTACCCCAGGCATCCCACCTCTGTCACCACGCTGTCTGCAGACACCGGCACTGCTCTGGACACTATGTTGTGAAATCTCCTGGTTGGCAGCAAGATGAGGCTGTAGACACCATCAGTGTCACACACAAAACTGGCTTACTGGTGTTTGAAAATACAGTAAAATTTCACATATGGAATGACTGCAGATGCTAGGCGATTTAAAAAGGGGAATTACAGGTTGCTATATTTGTGAGTGATTTGTGTCATGGTGGGATACTTGATGGAGAGTTGAATCATTCACCAGATTTGGTGTCCTTCTTAGAAATCCAGACCAGCTGCTGTGAAAAACCCTTCCAGGATCACCCAAAAGCATGGTATGAGTTTACAGGTGCACACATTACAACAATTTTCAAATTGTGAATGAAAAAGCGGCAACAGACTAACAGTTATAACCCTAGGACCAGGAAACATGTTTCGTTCTAGCGGGGACTAGATCTTACCTGTTACGATAAAGCTGATGTTTCTTTCGGCTTTTCCCACTTTATTGGATGCCACACAGCTGTAGATTCCAGAAGATTTGGTTTCAGCTACAACGAGAGTGCTAGCAGTCTGCAAAAGAAGGAAGAGGTTTAGCTCTCACTGGATCAGGAACTCAGTTAAAGCTTCCCTTTTCTTTTTCCTAGGTCACTGTTGACAGTCTCATGATTCAGTCTCTCCATAGAATCACTGGGGCTACTTAAAGGAGATGTCACCATATACGGTTTTGGAAAGGGTAGATGAGTAACAGAAAACAATTGTGTCAGAAATGGTGTGGCCAGCAGGACCAGGGAAGTGATCATCTCCCTGTACTCCACACTGGTGAGGCCGCACCTCGAATCCTGTGTTCAGTTTTGGGCCCCTCGCTACAAGAAACATATTGAGGTCCTGGAGCGTGTCCAAAGAAGGGCAACGAAGCTGGTGAAGGGTCTGGAGCACAAGTCTTTTGAGGAGTGGCTGAGGGAACTGGGATTGTTTAGCCTGGAGAAAAGGAGGCTGAGGGGAGACCTTATCATTCTCTACAACTACCTGAAAGGAGGCTGTAGCCAGGTGGGTGTTGGTCTCTTCTCCCAAGTAACAAGTGATAGGACAACAGGAGATGGCCTCAAGTTGTACCAGGAGAGGTTTAGATTGGATATTAGGAAAAACTTCTTCACTGAAAGGGTTATCAAGCATTGGAATAGGCTGCCCAGGGAACTGGTTGAGTCACCATCCCTGGAGGTATTGAAAAGATGCGTAGATAAGTTGCTTAGAGACGTGGTTTAGTGGTGAACTTGGCAGTGCTAGGTTAACGGTTGGACTTGATGATCTTAAAGGTCTTTTCCATCCTAAATGATTCTATGATTCTATATTATCAGAGCCATCATAACCAAAAATCTTTGAATGTGTCTTGCAGATTGATTTATCTCTTGCTAATGATGTAATGATAAGCTACAAAACACGAAACATGACACAACATGGTTCACCTGAAGAGATGAGCAGCCTGTAGGGCAGTCAGACTGCAAAGGGAAGAGATGAGGAATGCTTCAGGCACTTGGATAATGCTCGGAAAAAATTAGCTCTGTTTGGCATTAAATGTATCTGATTTCTCTTTCATTTTCTCAAGTAAGTGTCAGGTGAGAAAGGTCAGGGGAAAAGACATGTTTACTCGTCCTTTTTTTTTAATATTTCCTCTTCTTTGACTTAATATTTCTATTATTAAATAATAATATGTCAGGTTTCTTTAGGTTGCATTCTATCACCACCTTAAGAGGTTCAGCACACAATATTTTCACAAAGTGATGACTTCCAAGATGAGACCTTGGAAGGCCAGGGACCAACAACACCTGATGTGCCTTTAGAAAAATAAAAATCATTGTAATAATAAGACTCATAAGTTCATGGTGATGGAAAGCCATCGTCTAATGGCTTGGGCACTAGGTGAAAGAAGAAATTTATGCAGAAACAACTGAGGTGTCATTCTGATATGGAGCTGAGACATGGGGCACGGACATGGATCTAAGCAGTGGGATGTAGTCTCAGATACAACTTAGTAGCTTAATTTTCTGTCTTTCTGTCTCCATTTTATTTCATCTGTAAAACATGCATTGGCTGGAGCTACAGACAGAGCTGGGACAGTGACAAAAGGAAATTTTGTGGCCCTGGAATCCCGTTGTTTGGAATTATTTGGCTTTTCTAAAAGCCTTCAAAATCATTTTTGTGCAATTAATACATTCTTTTAAGTCTGCCCGATTGCTGTAGTCCAGAGGCAGACAAGCACAAGCGGGTGAGTCAGTAATAAATAAGGACCAGTTATCTACATTTCTACATAAACACTGGCTGAACATTTGCACTGCTTCTATGTCTCCTACTCAGAGACTTCATGGCTATCCCCAAACTCCTTGCTGAACTTCTAAATAATATAGATCTTCTGTTTTCCCAAAACATTCTTTAGTAGAAGGAGTATATTACTTTTCCTCCTACTCAACCAAACCCAGTGGAGTCAAGTTGTTTAATTTTAGCTTATTTGCTTTAGAGAACTGCCCTATGGCAAATTCAAGACTACAAGTGATGCTAACAGCAACTCTACCCTGCTAAGCTGTCTCAATGATCAGCTACCTGTCTGCTCACAAACTACACCTTATTTCCAGCTAGAATTTTTCTAACTGACCTTTTCGGCTCTTCCATGAGATGAAAGAGGCTCAGTAATACCAGAAAGACAATTACGGTCCTTTAAAAAAATCATCCTGTTTTGCTAAATTCAGTGGGCTGGCCTCTACAAATTCCTAATTACAAAGTGTGGGTCCAGCCCTGGCTCTATTTTGTCATTCTCTTTGAATTCCTTCCAATTTTTAAACATAATTTCGTAAAGTGTGGACACAGGGCTCAGTGGCAGGATTCCTGCAGCCGTTTTATCAACATTAACTCAGAATAGAAGGAAGTCCCATAACATCTGCCAGAGGGCTAACGTGGGTGGTTAAATGCTGCTTCTGCCATCCCAGACTTTCCACCACAATATTAACCTTTTTTTGCGTTAGTTGGTATTACCTCATAGCAACTTTACCCAGGTAGGAACAGTGACCTAAAATGTACAGTGAAGAAGAAGGAAGCTCTTACTCTCTGACTCCAGGGCACCTGTCTTTATCCTGCTACATGCAGAACCAGAGCATTTATGAGCCTGAAAAATTTGTGTCAATTATTTCTCCCACAATTAGTCCAATGGTTTGGATATTTTTTTGTAGTACCAAACTGTATTTTGTCCTGACATTATCAGGCATTAGTTTTTAATGAAAAATTGTGTACCCTATCCAAGTTTTACTGCTCCAGCCCACTAAGATGTGATTATTACTTTTATTTCACTGAGGACAGCACATACAGTTACACTTACGCGGTATGACTGCACTTACTGACCAAAGGTTATAGATTATGCCTTTTCTTGCATATTAAGTGACCCAAGAGAACATTCCTCAGCACTGAAATTCAGTGATTTAAACTGAATGCTTTTCCCCAGCACTGCTTTGGTTTTGACCAACTTGCACTGTCCCAAATGCTCCTCTAGCACAGCCTAGGATCACTCCGAACAGGCAACTTCCATGCAACCAACATCTTTTGGAGGGCAAGGGAGATAAATGTTATGAACACAGGCCTTAGCAGCAGAGAGCAGTCATTGGTATGTTTACTTGACTAAGGCAGAGAAAGCCATAGTGTCTAGGAAAAAGCAAGACTGACTTTGCAACAGAACAGAATATTTCAGAGACATGTCTCTGCATAAATCTTTTAGCTTATAAATTAGTCATAAGGATAAGATAACATCTCTTTAAACAGTTTGTGAGCCCTCCAGTGGTGCAGTCTGAGTTCTGCATTATGAATGCCAGCCAAAACACACCAGAGAGATAGTGTGTACAAAACTAAGCTGGCATGTTGTTGTTTATTGAACAATGATGGCTGTATGAGATCAGTTTGTGCTGCGTGGTTTCTCTACACAGGTATTGCTGCAAAAGGAGCAAGAGAAAAAGTTGGCACAGGCTTGTATCACATGGCTTCACAACACAGAATTTCAGGCCCTGGGTTTGCATCCATGTTGTATAGAGAAGGTCTGAATCCAGTTGCCATGATGAGACAGAACAGGGCCAATCCTTCCTGGCATTGCTGGACATCTTGAGCATCATCAGTCCACAAACCCCATTTATCACCAAAGCTTTGATCCTTTATTCCTCCTTTCTGCACTCATCATCTCAGTTGAAGTACTACGCTACAGGCTCATCTCAGAGCCAGGATCTAGGGAAGTAAATCACATTCTGCTGCTGCTGCTTCTGCCTGCAAATAAAAGAGGCATTGAGCAGAAATCCTGAGAGACAGAAGAAGAAATTAATGATGGAAACTGATGAGGAAAAGACTGAGGGGGAAGGAGGGTGCAAAGCAACTGGCATGGTGGTTGTGCTTGGAGCCAGGGTGGGCTGGTCTTTCTCCCAGAGGGTCTGCTTGAATTTCTTTTGTCTGAAAGTAGCTTAGATGGAGGATTCCCACTGCTCCAGCTGATGGCAGAGAAGCAAGAGGAGGTTTCAGAAAATGGTTGGTAACTTGACTCTTTTCTGACTCCTAGAAGGCCTCTGCAGACACAGGCATAAACACGTTCCATCCAGAGACTGCTGTGCTAACTTCTCTAAACAGCCCATACATTTAAAAATCAAAATGCTCTCCTTTCAGCATTGATCAGGTTAGTGCAAGTCTGCCAAATATTGTTGATTCTCTCCTAGTTACGCTTTTAAGAAGACATATTTGTTAAAAAAAATGGGAAATAAATTAAAATATGCTCTCCTCACCCCCTTGGATTTATCTTTGGCTAAAGGAATATTATTTAGGAAGATCCATGTTGAAATACTGGCAGCGCACTATTGGATTGGTCAGCTTATGCCAAAGACATATGATTGCCTCATGTGTTGGCAAGGCGCATCAGTGCAAAACATCTGAATGACAGGCTTCACCTTCAGGACCGCCACACAAGAAACACCAAAGTATCTTCAGTAGCAGGACACACACGCAGAGCAGCACCCATTTCCCCCTTGGGTCACACAGGCAAGTCACTGCTGTTAGCAAGCAGAGCTGCGGTTTCCTTCTGCATCCTGTGTTGTCCCGCTCGAAAGGGCCATGAGACTGAACGCAGCCGGCTGCCTGGCGAGGAGATCACGCTGCAGACAGCTATACCATAGGCACCCCTGCTCTCCTTCCCCGGGCCGTAGGTAGAGCGAGACAGTGCTCCATTCTTGCCTCCCTTGTGCACCGAGGGAGGGGATGGGTTTCAGGAGCTGGAGGGAGCTGCAGCTCAGCAGAGGCAGGTGCCAAGTTCTGCTAGTTTTAATCTCACCAAGGGCTCAGCTCAGCTGGCACCTTCCAGCGATCTGCTTAAAAGTGTTGACAGGGATTCTAGTAGCACTTGGGAAGGCCCCAGGAGAAGTTACGATGTGCAGAAAGAGAGGCAAGCTACGCTCCCACGGCTATCTTTAGCTTGGCTTCCTAGGAAGATCACACTGTCTGTCCATCTGCCTGCCAGCCTGTCCATCTGTCTGCCAGCATCCTCTCCTCCCCCACGCCCTCAGTAATTTTTGAACCCATTGCCTAATTTCAACCAAAATCAACAGATAACTCAAAGCTCCTAAGATCTCATGCATTTCATGCAAACCAGCTGTTGAGTAGAGAAGAAGGATCAAAATGGGTGTTGTTGTAGTGAGCTAAACAGCTTTCTCTTCTGCTTTGGGTTCAGATGGCCAGTCAGCACAGATGTACTGGCCACACAGCTGGCACGTGTAAGGACTGAGAACAAACATAACACATGCCTCATCATCTCCTCAGTAACGAGGGGACATGGAAGAGAGCTAGAGGTTTAGGGCTTGGCACAGAAGATGCAGGAGATGGACCCATCCTATTTTGCATGGTGACACCTTATAGGTTATGTCCAAGAAGGACTGACTCTTGTAACTATCTTGCACTCCACCTTTGTGTTGGACTGTCACAGTTTTTAATACTACCCACAGTCAGCATATGCAAGGTTGACTCATCATTGCCTGCCAAACCAGAGACGGACAAGAGCGAGCTTAGGTTTGGTTGTGCAGAGTCTTATTATGGGGTGATTACTTTCCATTTTCCCTGAAGTCAAATGGCTTTGTCACTCACAAAGGATGGGGCCATTAAAAAGTTGTGTCAGTAAGGTATTTATGCAGTGGAAAACAAGGCCATACATAGATTTATCTGTATCTATCTATATCTCTATCTGTATATACACATATGAATGATAAACCACAACTTCATGCATTACTGTTCTTTATATACATTTCCTGGAGGCGTGCACTGTGACACAGACCCAGTTTTCATGGTACCTGTTACTGTCAGTGGGATGCCAACATTTGCTATCAGCAGAAGGACCTTCTGTTCCATATCAAATTCTAAAAAATGTGGCTCTAGTAGGTTATTTCCCAAAAACAAGGGGGTTTTGTTCCACTCCCTCCGACTTTTCCCTGTACTCAACTGCCCTGCTGTCTACTGTCTCCTTCCCTTGGATTTATCATCCTTTCTTCTAGGCCAACAATGTCTACTCTCTCATCTGAACTTGCCTTCTTAATGCTCTTCTGTGCATTCTCCACGCCCAGGATCTTTGCCCACCTCTCCTGCAGCTCCCTGTCCCTTGTACACCTGTACAAGCAGTACTGACTCTTTCTTTCAAAGCTGTTGATAAACCAGTATGTGCCTGCACACACAGGAGAGAACATATACCTGATATGTATGCATGGATACCAATGATTACACCAGCTCTAATACCAGGTCATTCAGAGATTGACATTTTAATGAATATTGATCATGCTAAGAATAACAATAATAATAATAATCAGCATTAGCCCTGAGTTATATGTAGGAGTTAGCTGTAGCAAGGAACACTCAGAAGTGATGGTTTTCAGCAGCCGAATGACAAGAGAGTGTCTCTGACCTACTTACATGGTAAGTCTAAGAATAGCCCAACTTTTTAGGAAGTCACTGAAATGTCCAACAAAATGAGAATGAAATCTTTGGGTGGGGGAATCAATCACTTCAAGAGTTGTCTTATGATTAAGTATCATTATGTTACAAAGTTCTTCCATTATACCACTCAAGTTTCTCAACGTCCGTTTAGAAAGGCTTAAACGGAAATGTTACTAAAACACTGTTGTTGTCACGGTTTCTCTGTCACCAGAAGAATAATGTAGCACAGGCTTCCTGCATTACTTTAACTGTACAGACGCAGGGTTTGAGGTTTTTCTGACTTTAAAAATATATGTGTGGCTACCTTGATAACCACAGACAAACAAACAACCAATCAACCTACCACAGCGAAAAGTCAAACTGGAGGGACTCAGATGTTGCACATACAGGAAAAGGGTGAAACTGGCACAATGTCTTTAAGCAAGGTGAAAACAGCTACCTTGATTGCTGAAAGAAACCTTTTGACCATTGCTTGTTCATCTCTTCCCTTGATTACAATAATCTCATCCTGTGGTCACCCCCATTTCTCCTTTCATGCTAACCCACATGTGCAACTTTTTCAGTTTCTTCATCTATTTCCTACTGCTTTGTCTCTCATGTCTTTGTTGTTTCCATTGAGCTTTGAGATTGTTTTTACCATGCTTGCTATGCTTGGATGTGGAAGTGGGGTAGACACTCTGTTTAGATAGCAGGACTCCATTGATGTGGAAGTTGCTCGGAGAGCTGTTCATAGCTGTTCGCAGTAGCAGAACTGCTCACAGTAGTAGTCCATTGGAATCAGACACTTGTGATGACGTGCTGCATTCAGTGAGCTCAGTGCTATTAACAACAGTCTTAGAATATCCCAGCAGATGAGGAAGGGTTTTGTCTGAATTCTGTCACTTTGAATTTGCTCTGGGAGACCAAGAATGACTCTTGGACTGCAAAGAGTGAAAAGCTATAGACTCCCATGGAAAAAAAAAAAAAAAAAAAAATCCTGGATGCTCTAGAGCAGCTGTGTGTGCACAAATCATGCAACTCACAGCTTGGCCAGGAAACCAGGCTTAGAGAGCATTTGCTACTTACAATAGCAATCCAGCTGTGCTTGAAAAGCTATGGAAGAGCAGCAGAAATTAAGAAACCTTAGAAAATCTGTGAGAAAGCTTGAGCAAAGAGATTGTTTCACTAACCTCCCCTTCCCCATAGGGACCAGGAGGAATAAAGCAATGCAAGGTAGACCTTTCTTAGTTGGAACTAAACAGCATGAAGAGAAGGAATACCAAGGAGAACCACTGAGTTTCACTGCAAAACTTTCCATGTAACACATGCAGAGACCATTCCTTGGTTCATTTCTGGGCACATTTTTTAAAAAGGGCTGTTTGCCAAAGACTTCAAACAAAACCTGGAGTTCTCCTGCAAGGACCCATTATTAGCATCTTCCTCCAGGGAGGAATTTATTTGCTGTTGACTGGAAGTTGCTTTGACATTTCAGCCACTCCTCTTCCGCTGTCTCCAAAATGCATGGCACAGAATGAGAATGAGGTCTGGTTGTTAGACAGCTCCTTCTGCCCCCTGTGAGCAGGTAAGACTTCACCCATAGCATGGCTAGATGCCTTCTGGAGAATAACTGATTCTCATCATCTTTTGTTCATCATTCCCCCTTTGGAATAGATTGTGTCTTCCTGTGCCTGAAATTATTTCCCTTTCCTCCTTCAAAGCCCTCCTTATGTCTCAGTTTTCATGTGCTTTCCTATGATAGTCTCCCCTAGGAAGCTGTTTTCTCCCATCTTTGCCTTGATCTTTAAGCACGTAGAGGTGACCAGCTAAATAGAGCAAATGCCTCACTGGGATCCAGCCCGTTCCCATGCGCTGGAACGGTGCCACGAACACCTGTGGTACTTTCTAAATAATACAACAGCAGGAGAAAATGCAGTCCCAGGCCTGATTCTTGGCTGCACACAAAGCCCTATTTATTCTGCGGTGTGTGAAAGGGCCCTAACATGAGAGTAGTTGCAGTTTATATCCATTTTCACATGCAGAAGACTGAAGGCAGCCATCAAGGAAAGGAGACCTATATCCCTGGTGCCTTTAGAGTTACAAAAATCATTTCAGTGTCCTTAGAAATGACAGGCCTAGAATAAGGTAGACTGTAAAATGTATAATCTCTTCAGCCATTGCTGCCACAAATCAAACCAGTTTGTGAAACCAGATGCTGTGACAGTGGCATGGCATTGTGCATCTTCTCCCGAGCTCCTCCATAGCACAGGCTACCCAACCACACCAAATCAGCCTCATGGCTAACGCAGGGAAGTGCAGTTAATCTAGGGCATCCTTTAGGAAACTGTCTTGATTTAAAGGTTTTAACTGATGGAGAATCCTCCATGGCCCTTGGCAAGCTAGTCTCATTGGCTTTCTCTTCCACAGTAGGCACCAACACATGACAGGCCTACTCATCATTCAGAAATGCCTGCATCTCCCCATGGCCCATAAAGGGATGCTTGACTTGGACTAGGCACTTAACATTCAAATAGTTAATGCAGCTGGGATGAATCCCACCATGCTGTCTCTGACTGAGATCTTTCTTTGCTTCTGTAATCTGGATTCATTTGGCCCTTTAAACTTTTTATTGCAAGAAAAGACCTGGTCATCTAATAATCTAGGACCACATCTGTGAATAAAGTCTCTAATGAGAATAAATTGTTTAATTCTCGTAGAAAAAACAACAGGAAATTGTGTAATGTCACAAAATGAAGCAAAGATGGCCTGGAACCCTGCCCCTGTGCTCCTGAGGTGCCCCAAGATACTACTGACCAGCTCTAAGAAAGCAGATGTGGTGAATCCCACTGATACATTCTGCTGGCATGTCACTTACTTACCTTAACACGACTGCATGCAGAAATAAGTACATCTCTACGTCTCAGCAGATAAATACCAAGTATGGAAGTTATTTGCATGTATGCAGCTCTTCAAATCTAAACAATATAAAAATACTGTCTGCTTTACTGTAACCTCAATAGCATCTTACAGTGCCTTTTCAACACATGCTGTCACACAGAAAGGTTATCTGCTCCTAGGAATCATACCTTATTTTTGCCCTCTATTACAGCCGTTCGCTCAGTGATGCTCTGGATCCTGTTTCCTATGTTGCTGCCAGCTTTCAGGACGAAAGATCCTTCGGTGTAAGAGCAAAAGCCATGCCTGAAGACAACGAAAATTGAAGTTTTGTAGATTTGGTCATAGACTGAAACATTCAACACATAAAACAAAACAATTCTTCTGGAAACAGTGATCAGTCAGGGAAACTGCAGGTGCTGCGATGAACAGGCAAGTACAGTTACTTTTCATAAAATCTGGAGGTTTGGAGTCTGATGATTGGATCCACTTCTACAGCCCCTCCTTGAATATTAGCTCTCTGGAGTCAGTGTTAACATTTAACCCACTGTGCCTGGGAGGTCAGAATTTACAATCTCAGCCTAATTATAGGGCTGTGAAAGACCAACATGTCACTTCCAATGTTCCTGTTTTCAGCCATTGTTATGGTTCAGACTTGGCTTCACACATGAGTTCGTATTATTTTGAGCCTTAATTTCAAGACAAGTTATATTTGTTTCAAGATCTATTCTGTAATGTATTGGATGCCATTTCACTATGTGAAGGTTCTTTTTGATATCATGAAAAATTATGCAAGTTCTCATTTCTGAATGTTTTCTTCAGTTCAGTTTACAAAATGGCAACATACAAATACTGGGATTCAGTGATTACAAGGCACACAGTAAAAATAACTATAATCCTGCAAATTCATAAAACAAAGTTAAACAAGCCTATACCTAATTGCCAAAGGGATTTAAATGTTCATTTAATCTGAAATAATCAAAGACATGTTAATGAATGGAAATCTCAGGGAAAAAATGTTTTTGCCTTATGCAACAAATTGGCTTCTAATCAGAACATTCAGGTGTGGTCATGGAAGAGCTAATTTGTTTCCCAAAGCCTAATTTGCTACACATGGAAATAAACACATTGGAATGCTTCTTAAATGTTTTCTGTCCCCTTTCTTCTTTGAGGATATCTAGTTTTGCTTTTCATCCAAAGTTTACTTGTTGCTTGTTCAATTCCAGCTTCAACAGTAGAGCTTAACCCTTCAGCAGGGTCAAGCTCTTTCAAATAAGATACGTTCCTTTGATCTTCCATGGATTTGAAAGATAACGACCGTAGTATCTGTAATCAAATAGTTCTGACATGTATATCAGTTGTTTGGAGAAATGACCTTTAAAGCCCAGTGACTGGATAATGGCATGTGATGCAATCCTGACCAAAGTACGAGGTTCATTTCCCTTCAGCTAACTGTGCAGTTTGCTTAAACTTTGTGTTGTTTATAATATCACTGGTACACTAACTTTACATGCTTGTTTTTAATTGTGCAGCTTTGCGTCAAACTGGCTAGTGTCTTAGCTGATATTACAGCTTAAAGACATGATGATATGTAAACTAACTTGGGCTGTCATCATTAGCACAGATATATGATTGTCTGCCCAAATTTCTTAACATGCATTGAGAGGCTCAGTGAGCTGAAGAAGCTGAAATCAGGAGCAGGCCATGGTCATTCATGCATGGAGAGAGGACAGGGAGCAATAGCATGGCAAGAAAGCCCTACCTACGCAACCATTTATTGCAGACTCTGGTTTAAAAGCCAACTTCTAGTACATGATTGAGGCTAGGGTGGATGAAAGACAGCTGCATTAAGACAGTTGATGCATTCAGATGGGAAAAAATGGTTAAAAATTGTTCAGAAAGGTAGATACCATTTACTTTGCACATTTAATACTTTAAGAAATGCAGTTCCGTAACAAGACTAGAACACAGAAGAGATGATAACATGGTAAGCTGATAACATTCCCGTGCCATAGCAGGTATCAGAACTTATTTCATGATGCCAGTACTGTAGGCACACAAACAGGCAATATCAAAGGCACATCCCTGTGACTGGATATTCTGGCAATCTCTGTATAGGAAGACAGAGACTCCAAAATCTCATTTCATCCACATTAATTTTTTTTTTTTTTTTTTTTAATTTTTGTCCTTTCAAACAGGTGGAAATCTTCCAGAATGAATTTATGTTTCTATGTGGAAAATTTGTGCTCTTTACTATAAAAGACCTTACAGAGACACATATTTTGGTAAAGGACAGAAAGAAGGTACAATGCATATTCAGAAACTACTTGTGCAGCTCTGAAAGGCATCTCCTATCTCCTTTCTTGCAGCTCTGGAGCCTCCAGGCTTAGTTATTACTATACTCTTCCTCAAAATTCCTTGAAAAAGACTGTATATATTTAGGTTGCAATGTGTAAGGGATGAGGACAGTGTTATGTCTTTGTTGATGCTTAGCACAATGGGGTGCTGATTACTCATTAATACCATAATACAAACCACCATCATAATTACAATAACATCACAATAACAAGAAAAACACATGTAAAACACTAGATGAAATATTAGCCCTGGAGACACATATGTGAACTCTACTGACTTCACATACCATATTTTCTCCAAACTGCTGATTACAATGCTAATGCAATTATAGTAGAAAATCAAATACACTTAATAGCTGTTGTCCATGGTTTTAATAAAAAAGGAGTCAAAATCAAGCTGAGAATACACTATCCAACATCCCACAGTACACAGCAGGAGATGTGAGTACTCTCGTACGCGCCACTTCGGCTCCACGGTCTGCTGGATCAGCAAACGTTTACAAATCAGTTGCAGTGTGGCTGCCAGGCAAAGTCTAGGACAAGACTCAGACTCATCCCTTGGAGGCAGAACCAGATGCTTTCTCTCCTCAGCTGCCAAATGCTCTCACTTTAACCTCAAATACACTAACGCAGCTTAGGGACAGAGAACATGAGCCACCTCTGGTCTCCTGAGCTGGTTACTCGGGTTAGTACTTGGTCGTCCTTCCTGTTGCTGCTGCCAGGGGTGCCACGTGAAGCCACTACTTCAGCCAGCAGCATTGGGTAGAGATGGGGAAGGGACAAGTGGGAGTAATTACAAGTCCTGCCTCCTAACCTGACTTTAGCGCCTAACAGCAGGTATTTTGCAACAGAAAGAGAAAAGGCTCTGCTGAACTTAGATGTAGTCATCAAACCAAATGTTTGTGTTAAGTACAGATGCTTGGAAAGAAAGAGACAAAAATGAAAATATAAAAATTTACTCTGGCTGGGACCAAAATACACAATCATCTTCCCGTTAATTCAATTGATGTTTCATTGTGTGTGTCCTCAGATAACATCAGCTACATATCTTCGTGTTTTATAAAGAAATTACAAGTTACTTCAAACTAGCTGCTCGGTAAAATACCAGGGGTATCCTATTTGTAGCAAGAACTGTCTGCATTTGCAGGGAAATCCCACTGAATTTTGGATATCTGAATCTTACTCCAGATATCTCCAGAGCGCATGAATTCCTGAAATGTTTTGTTGTGGGATGAGCCTCACTGCTTTGCATCTTCAGGAAAGCTTGCAGCAGGGTTACCGCCAGGTTAATGAAAAAGCACACAGTGTGCACAGAGATTGATAAACAACCTGATATCTGCCAGCACATTTCTAAGCACTTCTTACACCTGTTTCCCTGCAGATCCTTCCACGTCCCTACTCTGTGGCTGCAACTATGCACGTGTAGAGATGCTATATAATAAACGCTAAGGGGATGTGTGTACAAATGTGCGTCTGCAAACATAATGCAACCTCAGAGCAAAGTAATCAGGCTCTGCTGTCTCAGGCGAGCACTGGGAGAAGCAGAGCAATCAGGTTTCTCATTCCCTAAGTAGTTTTTTCCATGTGCCTGCGTGCGTGCTCGCATGCGCGTTCCCTGTGTGCACGCACACACACCCACACGCACAGGCACGCTTCGTCCTTTGTGTCGACAGCCTGAGAAATAGGCTATCCCTTTGTAAAAACAGAAGCTGTTAATTTTCCCGCGGGTTTCAAGAGAAGCCCAGTGCAGGGGGAAGGAGGGGCGAGAGCGGCTCTGCCGGTGCTGGGGGCCAGGGGAAGCTGGCAGCACGCGCTGCCTGCCCGGCTGCCTGCGGTTCGGGGCGAGCTCTGCCAGCAGACCTGCTCGCTGCCCTTCGCTTTGGGAATTTACACTTCTCTGGAAGGGCTGGGAAGAGGTTTATGCAACCAGAAGTAAGTTCAGCTCTATAAAAGGTCCGTGATGTGCAGAGCTGGCACCGGCGGAGGCCCTAGAGAAGTGGCCGGGGGAGGGGAGCCAGCCTGCTTCTCAAGAATACATCAAGCCCTTGAGGAAGCAGAGTGTGCCATGTTTGAAGATGCAAAGATAATCACAGTGCTGGGAACCGTCTTGTGTAGCGGAGGAAGCCAAACAACAAGAGGAAAGCAGCATATGCTCCTGATTTCGCACAGGAAGCTAGCAGCACCTCCTGCCAAAGTGAGATAAGAAAACTCCCATGGCCTATTCTGGACAAGGCCATGGTTATCAACCTTAGCTTCACACTGTCCTCACTCCGCTCTGCAGCCCGCTCCCTTTCCTAATGAGTTTCAGAGCCCTCACCTCTATTAGCATACAAGCATGCCAAGCACAATAGCGTGGTATATTTATAACTATCGACGGGGAAAAGTTTCCAGGGTAAGAGTGTACTTCATGTCATCTTGATGTATTTCACTGAAATCAAACTACAAACCAGCTCCAAGCTAAAGTCCTGCCTAATCTAACCAGCTCCAAGCAAAAGTCCTACTAATCGCAGAAAAAAAGTGGTTTTGTTGTCACCCCAGTGGTTTATAGCGGAGCATAGGAGCTGAGGTAAAGGATTTGTCTACATATTCACCACACAGATTTGACTCTCTGTATGATAGACAGTCCTAAAGGAAAGCCCTAGACCCATCTTGTTTCCAGACACATCTTCTTCCCCATCTTGGAGGCAGTTCTGCAATTTGCAGTTCAAGTATTACAGCGACAAATACCATTGGAAGAGCCTCGATCCCCATATCACTTGGAAAAATACTCATCTTCTGTTTTCTCATCTTCCCAGCTCCTTCCTCCCGAGCGCTCCTGTGTGATGCCAGAGGCCATTGCAATGTTTCCCTCCTGTAACATCCATTCAATTTGGTAAGCATTCCTCTTGGCAAAGCCCCTGGCAGCCTCAATCACACTCTTGTTTACTGAGGTAGTATTTGGCAATTGGA